CCCCAAAACCCCAAAACCCCAAAACCCCTCATTATGAATTTTTTAAATTGTTAGATCGAAGTTCAATTTAAATGAACAATTTTAAACTTTAAAATAGCATCTATAGTATAGATGAATTCTTGTTAACCTGATATATAGTTTTGATTCTTTTTTTGTATTTAACTATGTTTAAGCTAAGTGCAAGCAATATTTTATAAGTTCATTTTTTCATTCACTATTGTTTTTGATGGATGTCTGGTAGTAGCTGAGATTATCTAAGCTATTTTACGCTCGATTATCCAGTGGAGCCTGGTAGAGGTCCATCCTAGCTTCGATATATTTGATCTTCATGAAATGGAGTTATCTTTTGACTCAACTACAGTGTGTCAATGCTTGGATCCTCTCTCATAGCATCTCTTTACTCTAGTGTAAAATCTTCCTTCTCTGATTAAGCTAGATTAACGCTGTTTATTTCTTCTCTGGGCCCATTTCTTTGCTAATTAGTATCTATGCTTCTTCCTGAAGGTGGATTATTATAAAATGTTTGCCCTGTGGTTATCTAGTCCTTAAGTAGCTATTACTTAATCGGAGAGATATCTTCAGCTTCCTTGATTTCTTCAAGTCTGTAAATCTAGTTCTTCTTTTTGCTTATTTCTATCAAAGCTTGTTAAATCGGTTCATAAAATTAAGTCTGCTCTTGAGAAATCAGTTCCGCATAGAACTTAAAGATCTCTTGCTACTATTTCAAGTCAGAAATATCTTGAGATAAGACTTGACATAAGTCAGCTATAGCTGTCATAAAACCCAGCAAGTAATTGTCAAGTTTATTTAAATCTCCTTTCATTTTATCTACTACATTCTGATCAACTATATGTTTATTAAGTCCTTAGATGAAGCAAACTACTACATAGTTTAGCGTTTAAATATCATCGTGATCACTTATCACATTCCAATCCCCTTTATTTACTAATTGTCTAATACTCTAAATTTAAGCATTTAAAAACTCATTGTTTTTATCCATTAACTGTTTATATTCATTCAATTGTTCATCTGGCTTTCTAACAGTACTATTCTTCAATATGTCTTTAATACTCTGTAGAGCTTAGTTAACCACCTTCGGTATAAATTTCGTGTATTTTCTTTCATCTCCATGGAAAAGAAGACCTTGCTTTACAAGAATCTCCTTAAGGCTCTGCTTTTGCTATTGAGAGGGGAACAGAACCTTGAGATCGACAAATTTATCATAGAATGTTTTCATGTATTTGATATTGTAGCTCTTGGAAAAGCACTTAGGCCTGTTCTTTTTAGTTTGCTTTATTGCCTCCTTATCATCTGAAGCTGTACCAGATATTATCAGGTAAGCACCTATGATCAAAGCTGTCCTACCTTATCCAGCATGACAATGGACTAGACACTTCCCACCACCTTTAATGATGTAATCCATGACTTACGCAGAGTTAAGAAGTCTCTCAAAGGTTGGGTTAGTAAGATCCTTCCAAAAGAAATTGAAGAAAGCGATTCCACTGTTCATCAATAGTTCAGGGTGATATGAGAATCCTGATTTGACATTAATCCCATCGCCACAGTATGGATGCTCTCCTGGTTCTTACAGATTAAAAACAGCAGTTACACCTTTCCTATATTTAATTTAAGTTACATGATCTAGGAAAGTTATATATCAGTTCAGACTTAGCAAATTGGGAAAATTAAAATTGCTGAAGTAGATTATTGAAAACTTAAAAATTATCAATAACTGCAATTGCAACTGTTACTTACTCCTTGAATTATTTGATGATTTCAAACTAATGGATTAATCGATCTGACAACCTCTGGGAAGCAATCACATTGTCGTTAATCCAGTTTGAATGCAGACCTTAGATAGCTGGCGTTGGACATCTAGTCCAGTTCTCATGCTTGCATGTCTTGCCTCCGCAAAATTGACAATGCAATTTCGTCTTTTCATCGAATATATTAGGTTTTAAGATTTTGGTCTAAAAATTGAGTTAATGACTAATTCATATTTATATCAAAAGAGATAGGTGGAGAATTGAACACAGTTTAATGTTATAGCTGTGAATAGCAATTTGGCTTACCTTAGTGATTTCAATTTAACTAAAGTGTGGGGATTACTTGCTAAACATTGGATTCTTTTTAACAGAGTCTGGGGAATCAACTAATCTACATAAATATTGATATTTAAAGTAATTACGAAACAGATTAAGATCTATTATGGGCATAGTTAACAGGCATGACGCCAATCTGAGACTTGTTTCTAGTAGCCTTCTTACTTTTACAGCAAAACATTATTTTTTAATTAATGTAATATAATATTAAGTTAAATAATATTTTGCAATGGATGAGCAGTTTATAGTTATATTTAAGATTTAGATTAAATAATAATGGCAAATAAGCATTAGGAACTTTGAAAAATTTGCCCATTTCCAAGAATTCTTATGCTAATCTGCCATTCCTTTAAAGTTCAAATCATTAATCTTTGAAGATCAGATTCGAACTTATAAGGTAATAATGAGATAATATTCCTCTCATTTAATAGCCAACAAGCTCATGTGTAGTAAAGATCATCTTTATATTCTTTGATTTATCTTTTGTATTGTTGGTGGTTTCTCTTTAGATCAGCATACTCAAAAATGTCTGCATACATCGCAAGTCCGAGGAAATGACCCACTAAAGCAGGCAATAAAAGGTACTTTCCAGTATGTCTAGCATATGTTCTGAATCCTGCTACTGATAAAGTTGCCATACTTGGAAGGAGAGAGCAGAGTGGGATTTTATTGAATTGTTGTGACATGGCAATGAATGTAAAGACTGTAAATGCATGTGCATAGTCGCCTCTTGCTCTCCAAACTCTGTTTTTATAAGTGTCCTAGCTTTTTCTGACTCTGTTGACTCTCTTAGTCATAATCAACTCGTTATCCTTGAACACCATAATGATTGATTTTACTTAATTTAATATTATAAATTTAATTTCTACTTAATTTAATAATCAATCTTTTGCAAATCTCTTCACTCTAATTCATATCAAGTTTATTTAATTTCTCACTGAGTCAAACTTTGTTTTAATCTGCTAACAATCACTAAGAAGTTTAATAATCTATGTTCGATGCTTTCATGCTCTAGTTAAGAATGTCTAGGTTTGAAGGTGTTTCCATATGCTTATGAGATTCTATTTATATTTTTAACTAGTCAAAATCACTTATCAGCTATGTCTTGATCTCCATAAGATCTTAAGCTTTTAATTCTTAAGCCTTCATTGCGATGGTATTAACTCCAATTTTCATTGTTTAAGTATTTTCAATAGTATCACTATTACTCATGACTTCTTTGATAGATTTGACTTTTACAATTGGGAGTGAAGTCATAATCTCATGTGGCAATCTTGCGGTCTAAGATGTGTTCTGAGTAATTTTATTATTCTTCTATTAATCTATTATTATACTATTATTTTAGCTAGCTTGCTAAGATCTTTGCTTGATTTCTTGATTTGCTACATGAACTTTAAATACTATTGAGGCTTGCTTATCGCCACTATTTTAGCTTGCTTTGTTTTGAATGAAGCCTGCAGCCCTTAGATGTCTTTCTATCATGTAAGTTTCTTCACTATTTGGCTGACCAGTATGTCCACATCTGAGAGGAATGACATGGCCTATGTGATTCGGACTGAGATAGTTTTGAAATCCTGTGAAACTCATGTCGCTAATTTTGCTCGGTTTACTTTCGAAAGTAGCCATAGCAAATTGAGATATTTGAAATGAAGAGTTTGGCAATTACAGATAATCTAGCGTTTTGTCAAAAAATGTTTGCAAATTATGTAAATGACCCTCTACCATTTTAATCTGCTCATCAAATCCTGGATTGTTTAGTCTCAAAAATGACAATTAGCGCATGTTTGATTTTAGAATTTGTCTGACTGAGTCAACAGAACCCTGTTAGTATAGGATTAATTTTATTATTTACCTGTGATATTTCTCTTGAGATCTAATGATTGTATATGTTAGGTGCAACTTTAGTCATTATCTCAGGGCAAGCACCATATATTTTCATCAACTTTACAAAGTCCTAAAGTATAGATTCATTAATTACTGATTTTGACTTACTTATAATTCTAGTGGTCTTATTGTCTTATTAACACTAACTACATCTTGAAAAGTTAATTATGCTCCTTCTATTTGATACATCTAGTTACAAATTTCTTAAAGGCTTTACCATAAATCTATATAAAACTGGGGCAACTCCTTATTTCTACTAAGAGGTTTAATTTTAAGTGTTTTTTGCATTTTTTCCAAACTTTCGAAGTAGAGTTAAGTTGGCTAGCTATTTTTTTGATTGATTTATATTGTATTGCTATTTGTTAAACTCATAATGGAATTTCCTCTCTCCATATCTGGTTAAATTTTAGATAGACTTGTGCCATGAGTACTACTACTCTTCCAAGATGAAAATCTCGAGCCGCAACAGTAGATTATGCCACTTGAAGTCATGTCGTTTTCATCTGTCGATATATTTTAGCAGTTACTTTAATATTCTATGATAGTAAACAAATCATGCTCAAGGTTTGTTATAAACTAGAATGATTATATGAAGGACTTAACTTGCTTGATATCATTTAGGAAAAACCCATCTTTGATACATAAATCATGAACATGTCTGGCTACTCCTATTTAAAGTGAAGAATGCACCTCAACGATTTCATCCATTTTCTCAGTCATAATAACTTTATAGCAAGACCCAACACCCTTATTAATCAAATTCTGCACATTTAGTGATCGCCAATTACAGGTTCCAATTTTAAATAGATACTTGGAGAGTGAGCTGTAAAATTTTCGATTAGCCAAGATTTCAAAATTAGAGAAAGTCCTGTCTGCAATAATCATGTCAACTTTATCTGCCATGTGTGTTGTAGGTATGCCTCCAAGAGACCTTCCATAGATTCCAATTTTGCCTGTTAGTTTCATTTCATTCTACATGTATTGCAATAAAACTTCACAATCATGTTTTATTGTATAAGGATTAGGTTCGCCGTGGCTTTAACCATACCCTCTATAGTTCCACAACATCACATTTATATCTTTATTAAGGAAGAATCTTAAGTAATAAGCATGCGGATGATTAACCATATGCTAGTAAAACATCGCATTAGGATTGCATAAAATGAAAGTAGGCATACTTTTGTATTTCATGTCTGTTTTATCATTTTATAACGGCTCGCAGGTTGCTGTGAAAAACATACAATCGATGTAGATTTACTTTTTCTTATCGACACACACAGTCACTTCGCACCCTTCAAATGTTTTAGCAAGGATATGACCCATTTAAATTGTAGTTCCAAATGCTCTCCTAAAGCAGCAAAAGCATGAGGTCCTTTTTTTGCAACAGCAAGCAACCGGCTTTACTGATTCTCTACAAGATTCTACAAATTTATGAATTTCATTGATCAATTCACTAACTTTTTATCTATCTTCATCCATAATGATAGGAACTGTCCTAACTGCTGGCATTATAGGTTTATTATTTTAGCCTAATAGAAGTTGGCAATCAAATTCTGTTCTCTCAAAATCATTCAAGCCAAAATAGTAAGACCAAATATTGTGCTCTGGTCCTCTAGCTGGCTTCACTTTAATCTCCTTAAATAAGTCTTTAATCCTGATAAGTTGATTGTTTATTTTGTAGAAAAATTTTGAGACCTTAAAACTTTCGAATAGTGACTTTGCACCTGTCCTCTGTCTTTCTTCATGGTCTCTAATAATCTTTTGATTGACGGTGGCGAATACATCAACCAGGTCCATTAATTTGACCATCTTTTATGTACTTTCTTTATAAACTGAATACTAGAGATTTTAGTGCTCTACTTGGTTCATTTTTTCATCGATAATCTTCGCTACATGCCTCATTAAATTTTTTAACTCGTAGTTAATTTTCCTATTATTAGTAATCTTTATCCATTTAAGTTACTTACTTGTTCATGAATTAGTCTTAAGAGTACTTAACAAGATTAACTGAAAAAGGAAACACAATCCATTACGTGAGAATTCTTCCAAACATGTAAATAAAAGCACCATTCAACTGTATTTACATTAAAATCAAATTTGATTTACTATTGTAAGAAGTATTATCAAATATAATGGCTCATCAAGGAATACAGTTAGAAGCACATTTAAGGCAACATCAACTATCAAAAGAGTAATTATAACTGCACTACAGAATTATTATAGATATTTGCTGTTAATTGTAATTTAGTTACCCTTATTTGACCTTGTAGTCTAAGTCTGTTTCTAAAGGAATTTAATAATCTCTCATTATTTTACTATTCAATTTCTAATTTTCTTTAAATCATTATTAAATCTATCAACTCATAATGACCATTTTAAACAGTCGGGGTTTTGGGGTTTTGGGGTTTTGGGG